GATAGAACGACTGTCTGAACGGTTCACTTCATTAGAAGACCAGCTAGCAGACCTCAGCCAGAGGGTGAGTAAAAATGTTTCCTTTGATGAGTTTGAAAACCGATGTAAACTGATCGAAGAGAGAATGTCTTATCGGGTACAACGAGAGTGTGATAAAGTAAAGAAACAATTAGAATTGCTTGTCCAGGAATTGGGTCAGTCTGTTGTAGACTGCTTGAAGAGAAGAGATCGTCAATTAGATCAAAGATTTCAATCTCTGTTGCCATCTGCATCCACTCCAGACCCTAAGTCCATATTTTCTTTATCTCAGTCTAAACAAAGAAATGTTACCTACAGCATGCAGTCCAGTCACTTAACCAACCAAGGTAACCAAACCATCGTGCAATATAATCCACCAGTAAAACTGGATTTTCCCAGCTTCAGTAGTACACAAGAGGATGATCCTGTTGGTTTTATTGAACACTGCGAAGAGTATTTTGCTGTACGTCCCCTTAGCGATGGAGAAATCCTTGCTTCACTCTCTGCTGTACTCAAAGGTACTGCCAAGGATTGGTGGATGGCAGAGTGGAGAAATGTGCAAAATTGGAGGCAATTTAAAGAAAGTTTTCTGCATTCATATTTAAATGAGGACTATGATGATGTCACAGCAAGGAAATTGTTGGAGAGGAGATAAGGGGCTAGAGAAAGGATCAGAGACTTTGCATTCCACTACCGTGCGTTGTGTCTGAGGTGGAAGAAGGAGATGTCAGAAAAGGAAGTGGTTCAAGCAATCCTAAGAAACTGTAATCCCCGACTAGCTAGTCTGCTACGGGGAACCATCAAGAACTAGTCAGGATTAGTCAGGATTGGAACACAGATAGAAATGAATCCAGATGAATCCAAAAGATATTGGAGTCAAGCTAATGGGGAGGAGCAGAGGAAGAAAGCCTCCACAGTTCAAGAACCTCACCACAAGCCACCACATGCCAGCAATCGAGTCGTACAATCCTTTCAGAGTGCGGTGCAACATGACTATAAAAATATCACCCTTCCCATAATTCTACAGGACAGGTATGTCAGTGCCATGGTTGACACTGGAAGCACTTTCTCACTGATCCAAGAATCATTTTGGAAGCAGTTGTGTCCCCAAGAGCAATGCCAACCCAGCGAAGGACAATCTTTTCTATTGGCCAATGGACAAAGACAGATGGCTATTGGTAAGGTGAAGTGGAAGTGTGAGGTGTTGGGACAATCAGTAGACCTGACTCTTTTCCTTTTACAGAATGCTGATCTGACGGTACCAATCATACTGGGAATGGATTTTCTGTTAAAGACTGGAATGAAGCTAGACTTTCAGAAAGCCCAGTATAGCCTACCCACAGCAGAAGGGGTTATAAAAGAAAATTATTTTCCCTTTCTCCATTATGACATCCACCCCACCATGCATTTTTACCTTGCCATTTTCACACCTACCTGCAGTGATGAAACTCGTCAGAACATACGTCAACTTACTCTGGCAGCAGACACAGATCCACAGACAAGAACAGAGCTGGAGAGTCTGATGTTGAACTGGCCTACTGTTTGTACCCAAGAAATAGGTCGGACAAACCTAGTTAAACATC